GTACGGCCTTCTCGAAGCCATGCCTGACAACACCTAACCACAGTGTCTACACTTCTTTGCACTCTAACTGCAATTGCCCGAAAAGAAAGTCCACCTTCCCGAAGTCCCACTATACGGCCCCTATCAAACTCACTAAGTTGACGAAATCGTACAGGTCTCCGTACTCTAGCATCGTAACCGATCGTAAACGATGTCAAGAACCAAAATCCGCCAACGTTGATTCTTTACTGCGGCTGAAATATTCATTTTTAGAGCGTTAGTGAATTAAAAAAAAGTATAAAAACCCGAATGTCCCGATAAGGCTGAAAATTTTTCACTTGTTATTTACAGTAAGATAAATACATTCACCAACTTTTATTAAAATAAAACCATTTAAACTGGGTGTTCGGATTTATGTGTCACTTAGTATATAATTTTAATAAAGTAGACACATGAGAATTTTATTTTTAAAAATAACATCATTGAGATGTGATCCATCGAGACGTATGCACTCCTTGTCTAACCGCGGCTCTTGAGGTATCCCCAGAGAAAAAAAGGCAAGTGGCGTGAGATCTGGGCTCCTGGGAGGCTAAGGAATGTCCCCTAGTCGCGATATCAGTATTTCACTAAACATTTCGTTTACATCTGCTAAAGACTCGTTGGCGGTATGGGATGTTTGAACCAGGTCCTGCTATGGTAGGCTTCAAAATTATGCAGTTGTTGAAAGAAAAAGTTACGTAACATTGGAATTTAATGTTACAGTATGTCCTTGCTCGTTTTCGAAGAAATTGGGCCCGATCAATCCTTCAGCCGACATGGATGCCCAGACTGTAACATATCGCGAATGCAAAGGTCGTTGGTGTTTTAATTTGGGATTTTCTGTGGTCCAATACTCGTTAATTTTGCTTGTTGACAAATCCACTCAAATGAAAATGAGCTTCATCAGAAAAGAGAATATTTTTCAAACCTGGAAAGGGCTCTAGCATTGTTTTGGCAAATTCACGGCGTAGTCGGTGGTACTAAGTTTATATGAGTGCAATTTAAGGTTTTTTCCTAAAATACGCCTTAAGGTGGGTTTACACGCTACGTCTTATTGTATGTTTTGTGAGACAGGACAAATCGTATCCAATAAAACTGTAAATAGCAAAACGTACGTCTTGTCGAATCGAAATGACATCCAAGGTCAGATTGAAAAACTGATGGAAAATCATTTTGCGAGAACTGGTAGGACAAAACGAAACGTGTAGACTCATGTTCAGACAAGACGTCCGATCTTGGCTCAGTTCACGAGTTGCTCCACTTCAGTTCGCTTCCTTATTCCCCAAAAACCTAATAATGTTAGACTTGCGGCAATGCACCCACGACTTTCTCGGGGAATTCATTAAAATGTATAAGTTTTCCGTGTTTGTAGAAAGTGAAAAATAAAGACTATAGTGACCGTAATAAAAAAAAAAACGCCTATGAGGATCTTATAAAAAATCCAAAGAAATAGACCCTATGGCAAATAAAAAGACTGGTACAAAAAAATAAACTCGTTAAGATCGGTTTACAAAAGAGAGTTGAAAAAAGTGAGGGGATCAGACATCTCTGTTACTAACCCTAGCAATTCACAATTCGGAAATAATTGCGGCTGTCATCAAGTTGGCTTCTCAGTTGTTTCAATAACGAGACGTGGGAATACTAGCTTCTTTTCAGAAGCCATTCCCTTGACCATCTTGTCTTTTCCCTCTACAACCCTTTTCCTCTTAGTCATTGTATCCTTACAGTTGCAAAAGCAGTAGTGTTTCCTCCATAATAAAAAAAGTCTCTCAAAAAAAAATTGACTACACCTCACACAACTCTAGAGTTTATATTGGAACTGTAGTAGAAAGCGGAAGGTAAAACACGTAGTGTATATACACTGGACAAAACGTTTTGTCGTACGCCCGAAAAAACGTACTTTAAGACGTAGCGTGTAAGCCCGCCTTTACAGATATTCTTGATATGGAAAGCTCAGCTGATCTCTTTCGGGATGATAACTGGTTCGCGCCGTACGGACGTCGCAACTTCGCTTACATTTTCCACTGTTCGTATTGATCTTGGACGCGCTGGTTTCTGATTCAGTGCTGAACCGGTAGACTCGAACGTTCTGACCCATGACCTTATCACACTTTCACCATGACATTGATTTAGATAATGTAAAATAAACTCAGAGCGAATCTCCATTTTTGTTATAAGCCTTAACACAGAACGCATGCTGCTCACCGGTGGAACGCTCCATGGCGACTAAATTTCCGAGCACCACGCTACTTATCTCCACTACCCGTGTCCCGCTGCCGCGTGCGGTTTTGAAATTGGTACGTCCTTCTGGTCCACCACGTACTTCACCAACTAGGATTTTCTTTTCTTATCGCTATCTTTTTGAAATTCAGCAAATTTGCGAAATGTGCGAATGACGTTTAGGCAACATGTACAGCTATGGAAAGAGTACACAGCAGAGCTAGTGCTAAGTTTAGGCAACAGGTTCAGCTACAGAACGACTGCACATCAAGTGAACAACAGCTATTCTCTAGGCGCTGAAGAGAAACTAAACCCAAACAAATACACGCATATTGCTCGTGAGTGAGTGTTTAGGCGCAGGAGACATTACAGGACCGCATCAAGATATTATGGGTAGTCATCAAAAATTTCATACAAGATATTATTATCTTTTACAGTAAATTTCAGTTAGAGATTCACAAATGAGTTAACTACACTTTTTAGTTATTAGTAAGTAAGCTGCGCGCACTCATTCAGAAGAGGAACTTGAATCTTCTGAATCGTTTAAATGAATTATTAGAGGTTCAATTTGGGTATCGATGACATTGTCCAAATCCCACATTTTGACCTCAACCTTCTCCCGAACGTGGCGGATACAGTTTTTCCATTCCTCTGCCGTAACTCTATTGACTGCGATGTGAAAGAGATTTTTAACATCAGAAAATTTATAAGTATTATTCGACGCCACGTATTGCTTTATGTTGGCCCAAATCAGCTCAATAGGGTTCAGCTCACAATGGTAGGGTGGCAGTCTCAAGACAGTTTTATTGTTTTTTGGCCATTTCGTCGATCATTTTAAAATCGTATTTGTATTTATGTCTATTGACTATACTTATCAATTCACCCTTGACCATTGTTTCATCAAAATCGATCTGTTTTGAGGCCAGCCATTGTTGTATGTTTGCTTTTTTAGTTGCCATTGTGGAATTTTTTCTATTTTTCTAGAATGGTACGGGGCATTATCCAGTACAATAACAGCGTTATTCTCCAGTTTAGTAACATTTTGGAGAACCAATTTTCAAAGGAATTGCCGTCCATCTCCTCATGATAGTCCCCTGTCTTTTTTGATTCAAAGGCCCACAGTGCTTCGGGAACAAAGCCGTCTTCACTACCTACGTGACAAATGATCAGCCGTTTGCCTTTTCCTGGCCTGGAAATAAATTATTCCTTACACTATGGATTGATTAAATTTGAAGGAATGAGGCAATTGAGTTCATTTAGCTGAATTTAAGAGTCACGGAATGCTGATCAAAAACTGAAAAACGTAGAAAATTGAAGTTTGCAACTTCTCAAAACCCATTCAAAGCAAATTGACTGCACCCAAAAATGATAATAAATTTCAAAATAACGCTTAAAAGAGGGTCGAAGTTTTTTTCCTAATGACTACACTGCGAATGCACCATTTTTGGAGAATATCACACATATCTGCTATCACAGCATATTATTGCCCGAATTTATCAAATTAAATTGCCGGATAGATGAAGGAGCTTACTGCAGGATTTTTCAATCCAGCCGAAGACGTCTAGAAAAGCCTGCCTTGATGATGTTACTGATTGTCGACCCAAACTTTCGCTTGAGTATGTCCAGCATTCACCCACGTTTCGTCCAAATAGTAAATTTTTCTTTTTCATCGCGAAACTTCCGAATCTTCCTAAGGTATTCCCTTCTCACACAACAATTTCTTCTTTCTCTATTAACATACTGTTTCTTCCCCGTTTCAAGAATCGAAAATTAAGTTCCTTCAAAAGTTTTCGGAATGTGGTTCTTTTAAATGATGGAGGATCCTCATCAGCATTAACTAATCTAATATCTTATCTACTGTAGGTATCTCATTTCGGAAGAAAAAATTATGCACTTTCCTCCTGATGGCAGTTTCTGTCAAAGTCATCTAGCTCCGTTCCGTATCCTTTTTCTTGCAGGATACGGTTTTGGCTCAGAAGTGAGTGAGATGCTCCTATATTCCTTAATGATCCTATAACACTGGACCGACATACTCCAGAAATATGTGCTACCTTACATATAACTTCGTCCACGACCAAATCGGGTTTGGTTTTTGTATATATTTAATATGATTTGTTTTTCATTTGCACTTAAATGTAGCTTCTTAGCCCTTTTTTGGTGGGATTGCGCTGATGTCAACCACTTCTCGGCTGTATCTGTGTCAGACATCGTATCTTAGGCAATATATAAACAAAACGTTCCACTCGCGAAAAAACGAGTATACGCTACTGAATGCGTAATGCGTATGCAATGCAATCCTGTGCGTGAATTAACTGTTAGATGCCTGTCGTGTCATCTACAATCACGTTTCCAAGTCCAACCTGTGCAGATTCGTAGAGCGCCGACGACTGCTAGTGACCTTGAATTTGTCTGTAGATCGATGTTACTCCAGTCAATTAGGTCAAAGTGGATGTTTTTCTAAACCAATTTGTTGTTCCTACATCAAAATATATCGATGAGTTTTGTACTGGAGCTCATGAAAGATCAAGGTAACTTATTTTAACAGTCATCCTTTTCTAGGCTCAAGATGACACGAAAAAGGGTCTGTGGATTCACTAGAAATACACGCCGAGGATGTTTAGACCTAAAGTGACTGGAGTATATCCGTGGATGCTTTCGAGGATCTGTTCACGTGCTGATCACTGTTTAAGTTTAATGTCTTTCTTCAGCGCCCAGAGTATAGTTCCAAGTTGATATATTGTAGAAAAAATCTACATAGTGTCACAAAAACCTAAATAATGTCAAAAATTGACATAATGACATTTTTCAAGACGCGACTGAATTTGTGATATATTGCTTTCTGAGTGTTTATGTGTTTATCGAAATTACAGAGACATCAGCTCCATCCAGAACAAATATGACTTGATCATAAGCGACCTTCGCGAAATGAAGGAGAACATCCAGGAGCGAATAAGGATCGTGGAAAAAACGGAACTAATCATGAATCTGCTACAGTACAGGATGTACGAGATCCGTTTACGATTTCACGATGAAATTCAATCAATTAACTCAACAGAGAAACGAACTCAAGACCGGAATGATGTTGAAGGAAACAGAGTCGCAGGCTGCTTTCAAATCATAGAAACAGAAAAAGAGATTGCAGAGTGTCAAAATACGTACGATGCGCAGCATAGATGTGTCAAGGAACAGATGCTGGTGAGCACGAAAGTAACAGAGCCTAACATTGTCAATATTAATATACGAGTATGTATGTGTTTGCACCTGAATTGCACATGGATTTATTCCTACGAATGCAGCAATTTATGGTTTCCTATATTATTGTTATAAAATTGATACCCATGCATACATATATCATTATGTTTCCGCCTCGTCTCGTAAATAGAACAGGTGTAGCCCTCTGTTTCCCCGTGCAAAACGCGGCAACCGCGCCCTCCCAACTTCCTCTTACCAGGCCCCTGGTCTACAAACTTTCATTCCTTGTTCTCGTGCCACGCGAAACACGTCGACTTACTCGACTTCGTTCATCATAATTTACATTTTCACTAGTGTCGAGGTGCTCAAACATAAGAAACGACAAAGGAACAGCTCCTCAAACGAGCAATCGCTCAACACAAATATTAGAAGCTGGAGCGAAGGTGGGCCGATAATTATGATGTGCACACACCTTCTGTGTTTCTTTCGACGCGGATACGAAATATAGCAGCGGTGTATTCGTGGATCACCAACCGCCTTACAGTATATTCAAATAAGAGATAGACCGGACATAAACAAGACCACGTGATCATCGAACGCTGTAACATTCGGCAGGGACGTATTAAGAGTCACGCAGTACATATTTTAGATAGTAGATGCTGCTTTGCGTAACTTTGTAGTAAATTAGCACAATTCGATGTGTATACGATTGGTGATGGATATAGGATCATGTGGGGGTGGGGTAAGAAATATATAATGATGTAAATATACATAAGGGTTTCAAAATTTTCGCTTCGATTTCCAGCTTCGGATGCCGCCTGATGTTTGGTGAAATACAGTCGAATATAATCTCAAAATGGCGTTTAAATTAGCCTAAATTAAAAATAATCGTATATCTCTTAAAATTGCTTTTAGAATATTGATTAGTATATTTTTTGATTTCTAGGTAAAATGTAATCAAATTAAAACGTTCAACACGTAAAAAAATGTGCATGGTTGAACATTGTCAGAAAGTAGATTCTTGAATAGGTTTTGCCAAAATGGGTTCAAAAATGTCAATAATTAATTAAAAAATACAGTAGCTTTATAATTACTTATAACTTAACGAATTTGATGAACGACATCTTTTATTGGAAAGATGAGCTTGATGAGCTTTCATCATCGCTACTGCCTGAAGCACCAACGTCTATAATGAATGGCTCGACTTGTTCCTCTAAAATATTGTCCAGTTCCCACATTCTCTTTTCAACTTTGTCTTTCACGTGCTTAATACAGTTTTCCCATTTTTGCGCTGTTATTAATTCTAGTGCTTCTTTGAAAAGTCCTTTGAGGTCACAAATTTAAAAGTTGTATTGTGCTTAGCTATATAATTTTTAACCTCTGCCCATATGAGCTCAATGGGATTGAGCTCGCAATGGTATGGAGGTAAACGGAGCACAGTTTTATTTTGACTTGCTGCCATTTCGTCAATGGCGTATTTTTGATATTCCGCCTTGTGATCCTTGACAATTCTTAATAATTGTACTTTCAGCATTGCTTCTTCAAAGTTGATATTTTTCGAGCGGAGCCAATTTTGAACATCAACTTTCCTTGAAGCCGTTGTTGGGACCTTCTCCATTCTTCGAGAATGATAAGGCGCATTATCCTACACAATTACTGCGTTTTCCTCAAAGTTCGGTAAAATTTTGAAAACCACTGTTCAAACGATTCGCCATTCATTTCCTCGTGGTAATCTCCAGTTTTCTTAGACTCAAAGCACCACAGACCGTCAACAACAAATCGATCCTCACTGCCAATATGGCAGATAATGAGACTTTTCCCTTTACCTGGAAATCGAAGTACTAACTGGTGTAGATTTATTTCAATAAGCGAACCTTTTTCAAATGTTTTCATCATATTCAGCGAAAAAACATTGAGACATGAGTATCAGATTGCTATAATTGGGATTATTTAGTCATATTGAAAGAAAGAATATTGAACGTCGTATGATTACTCAGCGCTTCACAATTTAATTTAAAGTTATAAACCTTTAAAAAATGAATGATCAGGAACCTGATATACGCACAAATATTAATATTAACAAATTATAACTTTATAAAGCTTAAAGTATGAATTAAAATGATTAGAAATATTAGGAACGGTACACAATATAAAACTTAGTAACTTTTTTTAAGTTTATAATATTCGACATATTTTATTTTATTTATTATTTTGAAAACACATAAAAACATGGCTTAAAAAAGTTCTAACAAATGAAAATGACAATAAAACATCCACGCATTTTATCGAAAGTTATAAAAGTTTTGTTACTTGTAATATGTTTTATCTGCCCCCTGAAATTAATGTTTAGAACCTTGTTCCCAAGGTTTGAAAAACATCCGATTGTTGTCTATTACTCGTATTTACCTGCTGGATTTTTTAATCCGGTGGACAGTCCATCTAGAAAGGCCCTCCTGGATGAAGTTACAGAATCATCAACCCATACTTTACTTGTAGTGTGTCCTGCGTTTACCCACGTTTCATCAAGGTAATAAATCTTCCTGTTTTGATTTCTATATTTCCCAATTTTTGTTAAATAATCCCTCCTCCATAGCACGATTTCTTCTCTATCCAGTAGTAAACTATTACGACCCCGTTTTTTCCATTTGAAATTTAAATGCTTCAGTAACGCATGGAAAGTTGATCGTTTGAAATTTGGCAACGTTGTATCTCCATTTACCTCCTGCAGTACTTTATCTATAGTAGGTATTTCATTCCTAAAGAAGAATTCATGCACTTTCCTCCTAATCGCATGCTTATCAGCTTCATCCAATGATTAACAATACTTTTGCGATGTTTACTGGTCATTGGCTCAGAAAAGGTGTGATTTTTTTTGTATTGTCTTAACACATTAAACACTGATGCGTGACACACCCCAACTTTGTGAGAAACCTTCACAACAATTTCTTTGATGGTTGATGCCTCGTTCTCCTCGCGCTCGATCTTATATATATATTCAAAATGATCTCTTTCATTTCTGCACTCAGGTGTCTTTTTTTAGAGCGTTTCCTAGGTGGACTACAGGAGTTTACAACTTCATCGGCAGTATCTGTACTACTGGGCATTTTGCGCAAGCAGTTGATAACAATAACAATCAATAACAAGGTATAACAATAACAACGACAAAATCAACAACTTAATAAGATAACAAACGAAAACGTCCAAAGAAATATCAAATTGCAATGATGCACACGACATACGTAACACGTCTGAACCTGAATGTGACTCTGCCTTGATACGACTGCTCTGCCGCTCGGCATAGGCATTTAATTGCGAATTGACCAATGAGGGCTCCTGTTTTACGTCGAGACGGCGGCGTTAGCGTGAAAATCACCCGAACCTTTTGTTTACATCCGGTCTATCTCTTATCTGAATATACTGTAGATGCAGACTCATAAAGTGGCGTGCCGGCCTCTTTTTCTGAAGGGACGTCACAATCACGTCATTGTCAACTATTCTATTAGTAGGTAGTTTATGAAGTTAGGTAAATGTTAGTGCGGATGCGTCACCGGCGTTCCGTCATTGGGCTCAGTTGTTTGAGATAGCAACGTGGACCTGGCTTGTGATAGTCATCTCCACGCCAATGACGAAAGAAGGCGTTTGGGATAACGACTCAATACTGAACTCTGTTGCTTGTGATGGTAACTTGTATTAAGCTTGTGATGACTAAGATCCTAAGACAAATAACAACGCTGAAAGCATTTGGGACAACGTAACGACACATTATGGTCAACAATTTCTTTCCATTTGCTTGTGATAGCAAATTCCACCTGGTTTGCGGAACAGGACTGTAAGTATGAACATGACAGGTTATTTTCGAGTTTCCCAGTTCATTTCGAGTGGTTTCTTTATCATCATGGCAGACGCAGAAGATCCGCCACGACCTCGCCATAGCGAGCACGGGCAAACTTTTACAAATGAAGAATACGCAGACATAATTTTCTGTTATGGACTTTGTAACGGCGATTCTGCAGCTGGCCGCCGTGAATATCGGCAACGTTTCCCGAATCGCCGAACACCTCATGTTACTGTGTTTGACTCTGTGTATCGGCGCATCCGCCAAACCGGACGTGTTCAAAGGCAACATAGTGATGCTGGTCGACCCCGAGTCTATCCTCCTGAAGATGAAGAGGAAATCCTTCGTGTGTTTCAGGAAGACCCTACTACGTCTACGCGCATTGTGGCTGCTCAGTTGGGTATATCACAATACAAAGTATGGTTTACTGTGCATACCGCAAGATTATACCCTTATCACTACACGCCTGTGCATGTGATTGAAGAGGGCGATCCTGCAAGACGATTAGATTTCTGCAGGTACATGTTACATGCAGATACAGAAGATCCAGACTATTTTAAGAAAATTCTGTGGACCGATGAATCGAGGTTTGATAAGGACGGGATCACTAACTACTATAATGCTCATTACTGGGCTGATAAAGAAGCTTTAAACCCTCGAAAAATAAGACCGACGGGGTCTCAGAGACGGTTTTCAGTCAATGTGTGGATGGGCATCATTGATGGATATTTAATTGGACCTCATTTTCTGCCCGCCAATTTAAATGGAGAGTGTATGAAGAGTTCTTGAAAAATCACTTGTTTCCATTAATGGAAGACGTCCCATTGGCGACGAGACAAAATATGCGGTTCCAGCACGACGGCTGTCCCGCACACTACAGTAGATTAGTACGGGCGTATTTAGACTCTAAATTTCCAAATCAATGGATTGGCAGAGGCGGGCCCATTGCCTGGCCAGCAGAAGCCCAGATCTCACACCGATGGATTACTATGTGTGGGGACATATGAAAAGCCTGGTGTACGATGTTTCGCCCGTACCAACGCGCGATGAATTAATTACAAGGATAATCAGTGCAGCTGACCAAATAAAAAGCCGCTTAACAACTAGAGTTACCAAAAGTGAATTACGTAAGAGAATGCGGGCGTGTATTCGTAACAGGGGATTACAA